AACTTTGTCATTTCCTCAAATAAATTAAGCACATACTTTTAAAAATCAGTACCTATTTTAGAATAAACTCTTCAATAAGAATTTATCAAGGGCTGTGTCTTGCTGAGGGCTTCCCTGGTGGCTCAGAGGTTAAAGCGTCTGCCTGCAGTGTGGGAGACCTGGGTTTGATCCCCTGGGTCGGAAAGATCCCCTGGAGAAGGAAATGGCAACCCACTCCAGTATTCTTGCCTGGAGAATCCCATAGACGGAGGAGCCTGGTGGGCTACAGTCCATGGGCTCGCAAAGAGTCGGACACGACACACAGTGCTAGGGGCTTAGAGAAGGAGATTAAGACATGGCTATGACATCAGAGTATCTACAGTCTAGTTGTTGGAGGTTGAAGACTCGCACACTTAAGAGCAGAACAAAATGGCCCTACAGAATCTACTTCTGTGTGGCTCTGGGTAGGGCAGTCAGCACTCTTTCAGAGGAATGAGAGAGGTTAGAAGGTGGAGTCTCAGTGAAGGTGGAATTCGTTCTGATAGGACAGTGTAAGTATGAAGAGTTCAGGCTCTGATGTGTGACAGGACTGAGATTGAATCCCTGCTCAGACATTCATTAGCTGTGTGACCTCAGGGCAGATTGGTAGACCTCTCCGAGTCTCAGTCTCCTTATCTGCCAAATGGTGATACAGAGTCTCACCATGAGGACTGAGTGAGTTAAAGTCTCCCTTTCCAAACACAGCAGCTCTCTGTTCCGTTACTCTCCCACCACCACCAGTACCACATTCATTACCAGACTCTACAGGATGGGGAGGCACTGCAAATGGACACCAACTGAAGCCAGTGTTCAGGTGAAGTAAGAGCAAATGAGTGATGGTTTGGAGATAGGAAGGGGCCCAGCATGTTCCTTCTAGACTGAGGAGGCCTAGCTAGCCCAGAATAGACAGCGGTTCTTCAGATGTATAGGGAGAGAAGGTTGAATAAAGAGGGGTGGAGATCTTTTGCAACCTCCTAGTAACCCTGTACCTTAATTCTGGGAAGATAGGGTGCCTTGAAAGGTGCTGGAGAGGAATGTTGGTGTGCGACTACTTAGGCAACGGGAAGTTTAAAAATTATTTGCTAACTGACTGGGTTGCGACATGGGAAGTAAAGCCGCATCTTCTCACTGTATCTGTAGCCCATTTTTATCATTAAGGTTTCAAAACATAGCAAAACTTATGACAGTTATACTTGGCTGTTCCTTGAATCTCTCCAGTGTTTCTACTAACTCTAAACAGATTTAGTATGTATAGTTTATCCATTTTTTCTCTCCAGAATCCCATTCACATAATCATCAATCAATGGTCATAGCAAGGCAGGTAAAAACAAGTTTTGATTGTGAAAGGAAATAGGTCAGTAAAAAGTTGTTGTTGTTTTTAAAGAGTAAACATTTTCTATGTCTTTAAGAGAGAATAAGTCCAAACTTATGAAAAGAAAAATAGTCTGACTCAGGATATAGGTTGGAGAATAAGCATTACCTCTATAAGGAGACGCTGGGGCTTTTCAATATTTTGGGTACTAGTATTTGTCTTCTTAATTGCTCAATGGGATATGTTATTTTTTTAATCCAAGGATAGGATTAATTATCTTGGAAATGTCTAATCTATACCCTCATGTTTTAAACTGCAAGCAGGGAGTCATTTTAAACATTGAGAAGAGAAGAGAAAATCTCTCCTGACAAATAAATGCTTTGAAAAATTAGATATTAGTACTAGTCAAATGCTCTTTCTTTTCAGAAATATTAAAATTGCATATTAGAATCGAAGGATCCTTATACGATGTCACAAAAAATAAGACTTAAGGAACAATTTCAGAGACAAAAGATTATGTGAAACATCCAGCTCTTCCCCTTATGGGAAATTTCTCTTTTTTTTTTTTTAACATCACAGGCTCAATCATTTCCTAATGTGAAATTACAGATTTTTCAAATTACCATATAAAACTGCAAAAAAATTACACTTGTGACCACCAAAGAGATAGCATATACTATCAATTTGATTTTAAAAGGCATACATCTTTTATACTACCTGTCATTTTTATAATGCCTTTTACAAATTTAATCAATACATTTTAACATTCTATATACTTTAAGTGCAATATACAATAAATATTCAAGTTTCATCTTAAACATGCTTTAGCCTTTAAATTGTTAAAACTGCAGTGCCCTTTCAATCTACTTACATAATGTCATAAAATATACATTTCAAGGTAAATGAAGTCAGCTACTTCAATTTAGTCCCTCAAACTGGTAGTAAATGAGAGGTTAACACTATGGTGCCAAACCCATTATTGAGTAAATTTAGCACCTTGGACAGCTCTGTAAAATCTTTATTGCTTTCCTGACCTGCTCGTCATGTTCTGTCTGTGTGTTCAGTGGTTCTCAGCTCTGATTGAAAGGCAATATATTAGATCCCCAACACAAACACGCTTGGGGGCTAGTTCACTGGGAGCCTAATGACATGGAGGTGAGAGCAATTTTCTGGTCACCGAAATCCAAGCACCTTGCAGGTTCGCTGCACTAACTCCGAGAGGACCCAGACATTTCCTTTCTCCTTCCCATTTGCAGAAATGACTAATAGAAGCTGAATCACATTGGCCAAGCTGAGCCAAAAGCCGTCTCCCCCTTAAGCCCCAAAGTTGAAACCACGATGAAGGATACTTTAAAATAGGCAAGATACCATTTAAGAGAGTCACTTTCAGGACATGACATTGGGATCACTGTCATCAAGACTGCTGGTCTGAAGCATTGCTGGGCTGCTGACTGAACTACAGCAGTGTGCCTAGTGGAAAGCGTGTCCTGGCTCCATGGACTGAAGGAGGAGGCAACTCTAGGAAGTGAGGTTCACATGTTTCACTTTCAGGAGATTGAATGCTGATGAGAGCTCTGGGCATTGAGTAAGGAGAAAAAGAAACAAGTGAATTATGTCATCAAAACCTGTTATCACTAAAAATATATCAGTTTAAAATATATAGCCTACCCTGATAATTGGGATTTTTCAGGTACAAGAACTTCAAAGATACTGGAGTTTATTGGAACTTGCCTCCTCCCTGGTCCTGTGAAATTAATTAAAATAAGCACTGCTTTAAATCCTCAGTGATACTGTTCCAAGATTGAAGTTCACAATTGCAGGTTCTAACTGCACCTCATCTTGCTTTTGACAAACAGGAGTCTTGTATTTTTTTCCCTAAAGTGAGAAGAAAGAAAAATACCTTCTTTGCCAAGCCCAAACACTGACATAAATATTCATTTGAAGAAATAAATGAATATAGACCCAGGGAAGTCAACTTCTGGTATATAAACTAACTTGATCCTGTTTTGTTTTAATCTTTTCTAAGAGCCAGATAAAGCCATGAGGTTTTAATGAAAGCAGTACGGGCTGAATTTGATCTGGGGATAGGGTTTACTGTGCCCACACCATAGTAAATTATTAACTGCTATGGTCAGACAGCACTGCAAACAAAAATGTGGTAGGTTATCTTGTAGCTTGCATTAAAAAATAAAGAAATTATTTCAGACGGATTGATTCAAACCCCATTGATTATATAATGTTTTCCCCTCCTTATCTGAAAAATAACAGAACTGTTTTGTAAATGGGGTATAGCAGCAGCTTAAGGCACGCATAAATGTTTATTGAGAACTGAAAACCCCTCTATCTCATTTTTGAATTTAGGACATTATATATGTCATAAGTAGTTACTGCAGTATGACAACTATTTTATCTTATATTATAGAGAATTTAAAATTGAAAAATGCTAATATGTATCTAAAAGCTTGTCATTTCAAGAGTTGTTCAAGAATTTTTGAAGAGGCTATGGTGACAGCAAAATGAATGTAATTATATCCCTATTTTGTGATCAGTGTCTGCAGTATGTGAAAATTGAACAGCACTGCTTCTCCATGCAGAAATCTATTGTGTAAAATGTTTAAAGTTAAACTTCTTTTTGAAACTTTACCCACAGCAAAAAAAAAAATAATAATAATGTAAACATATCTTCTTGCAAATCACCTCTGATAATCATACCATGCCTTCATGTTTGGTTCTCTGATAAACCTCCATTTTATATGTATCAAGCTTAGCTTTTCTTTTCACATTGCAGTATAAATGAATCTTTAGAAAATTGGGGCTGAATAAAGGAACAATTTCTTGTGGTTAGAATGAAAAAAATTACCACCACACATATTTTTGTAGAGTACCCTGTATTACTAGAAACACGCATGCTAGCTAAATATGGAAGTCCACCTAAATGAAAGGAGACATTTTTTTCTTCAACTGGAGTGAACAGCAGAGCATAACACCTAGGAGGAGGATGAATGAGCAATTGGGGAAAATGACAAACAATTCTGAAATAGCAAAGAATTGCTATAAAAGAAGCAGACTCTGCCAGTCATGAAAATTGGTGCAGAGGGAGCTTCTGGGGGCAGGAGAATTCTTTTGTAAGAACCTCTGACAAAACAGCACATCACCCCCTGATCTCATGACTCTGCCACACAAGGGAGATATACAAGAGGAGTCTGATGCCACATGCTTCTTACTAGCTGAAGACTGATTGGAAATCTCTTGAAAATGACCTGTCTGATAAGGTCATGGTTCCTGGAATAAGCAATTAAGTGCAAAATAAACACATCTTAGGGATTCATAACATGCACCAACTGACATCGATTGTAGTAATCTAGTAAATGACCTTGCAATTGTATTCAGCAATAAACATATGAGTGCTTTATCGTGCTTATGGCAGACTATTGAGTGATGTATTTTATCTTGCAGTACCAATGATGCTCACCTTTTGACTTGATTAAGTGTGTATATGAACAGGGATAAATTGGTGATTTAACACCACTCTGGGGTTCCCCAAACCCACTGCTTTTAAAGCAGTGTGTTGGCAAAGGATGGTGAGAGGGAAAATAGAACATGATCATGTGAAGAGATAATGACATCCTGCCTTCACTCAGAGGACTGTATCTGCTTTTCTCCTTGACAGGAAGTGATACTCAAAAGGGCTGCAGATCTGGTAGAAGCACTCTATGGGATGCCACACAACAACCAGGTGAGCGTGCTGGCTCTCGAACCTTCCACATTCAGCTGAAGCTCTGAGTCCTTGTTAGAATGAAAAAGCATGAAAATAATAAAAGCTGTTTCATAAGTTCAGAGTATAAGTCATTCAGGCCTAACATGTTGCAAAGCCATTCAGTTCTTCTCTCTTCTTTTGTAAATCTTTTATTGCCTTTTCTAGGGAATAATTTTTCTTATGAGAAAAGGTACTTCATTTAAAAGGATCTCCTGTGGGAATATAGTTCATCATTGAAGAAGAGAGTTACTGGTGCTCAATTTTATTCCTCTCAGGTTTTCGAGAAAATTTAGGAGGAAACGAGGGGCTTAATTTCTTCTCCTGAAAAATGTAACAAGGCCTGAACATTGTCTGCTTGTTTCATAGAGCAACTCCATGTTTCTGATTCAACTTGCTCAGGAAACTACAAGTCTGCGATAATCCTTACTTTCTTATGTCACTTGAATTGGTCAGTGTCCAGGGGACACAGCCCTAATACTTAAGGACACAGGTTGTCATATAAACCTTCCCTTAACTTCATCCAGGTAGATGAGATTCAGGGTGCATGTGTGTGTGTGTGAGAGAGTGACCCCAGAGTTTTCTGTGTTACTGGTGGGGAAGGGAAGCTGCAGGTTGCTGTCCCCGAGGTAGTATGGAGGATTGGCTGAGTTAATGGGCTGTCAAAGTCACACAGAGTTATGCAGCCCAGCTCTGTCCTTAAGGAGGTTGCTGCTGCTGCTGCTGCTAAGTCGCTTCAGTCGTGTCCGACTCTGTGCAACTCCATAGACGGCAGCCCACCAGGGTCCCCCGTCCCTGGGATTCTCCAGGCAAGAACACTGGAGTGGGTTGCCATTTCCTTCTCCAATGCGTGAAAGTGAAAAGTGAAAGTGAAGTCACTCAGTTGTGTCCAACTCAGCGACCCCATGGACTGCAGCCCACACCAGGCTCCTCCGTCCATGGGATTTTCCAGGCAAGAGTACTGGAGTGGGGTGCCATTGCCTTCTCCACCTCAAGGAGGTAAGTGTCCTTAAATGAGGTCTTCACCTCTCTCAGCCTCAGTTGGCCCATCTGAGGTATGGGCTTGATGATGATGAGACTGAACACACAGGTTTGCTGAAAAGGTTGCAGAAGTTAGTGCAATTAATCATGTAAAGCCCTGAGTACAGCCTACAGTAAACACTTGGGATGTGGTACTCCCAGGAGTGTGACTGGGGCAGTTAAATGGGATGTTCCTGTTCCTTTTCAGGAGATTATTCTGAAGAGAGCGGCTGACATCGCAGAGGCTCTGTACAGTGTCCCTCGCAACCACAGCCAGCTCCCGGCCCTCACGAACACCTCGGTCCATGCGGGAATGATGGGCGTGAATTCCTTCAGTGGACAACTGGCCGTGAATGTCTCCGAGGCATCGCAGGCCACCAATCAGGGTCAGGAGCCCGCCCTTGTCCCCACCCCCACTCCCGCTGATTTCCTTGCCCCTTCCCAACCTCAAGCTACCCCTCCCCATTTATTTGACACAAAAGTGTTCATTTTTTAAAATTCTTTTTTCCCTCCCATAAAAAGGGAGATTCCTATGTCTGTGTGTATTAGGTATTATTGTAGACTTCTGGTTCTAGCCATCATGTTTGGTAATCTGGTGCGGGGGTGCTAGAAAGGATCCATGCATTTAGCCATCTCTGCATTTGACTTTTCACTGTAAACCATGAATGACAGGTCCCAAAGAGGGTTGGAATTAAAATTCTGGAGGGGCCAGAGCCTATCACCCTCACACAGGGAGTAGGAACCTGTTACCTCCAGGGTACATCTTTCGGATTGGGATTTATTTCTGTTCCAAAATAATAATTTATAGGTCCTGCGTTGCCACTTCTCACGGGCCCGCTAAGTATTTATGATCTCCTGAGAAATGTGTCTTTCGCTCGCTTCCCATTTTAATCACAGAGCTAGCACCATCAACCCACCCATGAATCACTCTGCCCCTTCCCTTCAGGATGTGGTGAGGGGGCAAGAGACAGAGACCTCCTTTCCCCCAGCCTCCCAGGCCCACCACCCACCTGAATGCCACCCTCATCCTTGCTTTCACCCCTGCCCCTCAGGTTTCACCCGCAACTCAAGCAGCGTGTCACCACACGGGTATGTGCCGAGCACCACCCCCCAGCAGACCAACTATAACTCGGTCACCACGAGTATGAATGGATACGGCACCGCTGCCATGTCCAATTTGGGCGGCTCCCCTACCTTCCTCAACGGCTCAGCTGCCAACTCGCCCTACGCCAGTAAGTAAGGACGTGTGTCCTGTGTTTCTGCACGTTTTCTGCTCCAAAACCTGGGCAGTGTGCTGTGTTGCCTCATTGTGCAGGTCTGCCTGCTCTGAGGACCCCGCCCTGCCAGGCGTGGACCCAGGTGATGGGACCCAAGGCAGCACTGTCCCAGCAGGAATCTCTGCCCTCCTTGCTCATCATTCTCCCCTGTCTCTCTAGCAGAGCTTGCCTGCAACCAAAGTAGCAACATGAGGTCATTGTGAGATCCCAAGCTTCCTTCCAGTCAGATGGAGCTGGGTCTGACTCTTCTACCAGTCACTGACTGGTGGCCCTGAGCAGGTTCATCTCCTCTCTAAACCTCAGTTTTCTCATCTGTAAAATGGGGAAGGAAGCCACTCTCCCTCCCACACAGTTGTGAGACTTGGATAAGAGAATGCATGTAATAAGCTTGTCCTAAAGCTCAGCCCATGGGAGATGCAGTCAGTAAATTTTGGTAATAATCATAATGATAGAATGATAATGTTAAGTGGTGCTAGTAGTTTAGCATGGTAATGAGTATCTAAACCTTAAAATCTTTTATTTTTAAAGATATTTATTAAAAAAAAAGATTTATTTAATTGGCTGCACTGGGTGTTAGTTGTGGCATGTAGGATTTAGTTCCCTGACCAGAGATGGAACATGGGCCCCCTGCATTGGGAGCATACAGTCTTAGCCACTAGGCCACCAGGGAAGTCCCTCTCCTTTATTCTTTTAATGTTTAGATTTTTTCCCCTTGTGTTTAATATGTACAAAGAAAAACAAACATTCAAACCAAAAAACACACTTTATTTTTCCCAAAAATTTGGCATAATGAAAAAACATCTACAAGAAATTGTTCTTTTGTGCCTTGTCCCTGTCTTAAAGAAGCTGAGGTTAAAGGATTTTTGTTGGGGGGGGGGGTGCAGTGTTTCAATTGCGTATAAAGAACCTCAGGGAACTGGCGTCTTTACATACAAAATGTCATGAGCTGTGTCTCCACAGTCTCTCAATTGCCCTCTGAGGATTTTTACATAGAAAACCAAGTTCATCTTGGACAGTGTGGGTGGCTCTTCTGGTGTATAATAATTCTAAACTCTGAGAATTTTGTGAGCTGATAGAAACTGTGTTGTTAAATGAAGGAATGGTATGATTTTTTAAAAAATGAGAGACTCAGCTAAAAATACTGAAAATGATGCTTTCTCTGACAGTGGAAATGCAGAGTGTGCTAGGCTGTTGAAAGAGGAAAGATCATTCTTGGCCTTTGCAAGAAGTTAACTTCTGAAAGCAATACTTAGTGCCATTTACCTTTCGGCTGAATTTGTAGGCTCAGTGTGAGCTAAACCTCTGTATTTCTTTATATCTACTCGATCTGTTTAGAATCAGCAGCTTGTTGTACATTTAAAATTCTCTCTAATAATCTGCATATATTACATCTGTCTGCTGAAGCATCAATGTTTGGGGCCAGTTTCACATTAGATTTTGATTCATCAAAAGATTGTTTCTCACAAATCTATCATTTCAGTGTTCTCGTTTCTACTCAATCAGAAAAGGTTTCAATCATGACCTGAAAATTAAAAGGTGGCATTCTTAATTAAATCAATAACCTAATTGCTATATGGTAGCAATTCAATTTAGGGCCTTGGATTGCTCTGTCTTCCTAAGCCTGTGCAGACACCCAGCGACCTGAGCCTGAGATTGCATCTGTCAGACTGTGAAACTTCCAACATTTAATTTCCATTAATTGATTTTCTCAGTGCTCACAAATATAGTATTAAATTCTCAAATAGGCTCTCAGATGGGACGGTTTTATCTGCATAAATGCAAATAAAACAATAAACAAAAAGCCCAGCTGATTTGAATTTTTGCCTCCACAATATTTAATTATTCATAAACCACTCATGTTGAAAAATTCCAAACAGAATAAAAAATAAAATAAGACGTTTCCACTGGTGAACACCCTTTCTGGTGTGGTGGCTGATAACTAATAATGTTATAACAAATGGAACTGCTTGACTATATTTCACCCCTTCCTCTGTTAAGGCCCCCCTCAAACTCCCCACCTCTAAATACACATAATGATCGCATTTGCCAACGAGATTAATTGCCTTCCTCAGTGAACCAGCAGGATTTCAAGTCTACGAATATTTAAAAATCAAACCTCCAGTGCAGGAGTTTTGCAATTTAAATGGGTGTTATTATTGAGCGCATTTTCACATTTACAAATCCTAAGAGATGTATAAAAATGCAGGTCTCATTAAAAGAAAAAGTACAGTTTAGAAAATGTTTGTGAAAATCCTGAGGATGGCGGCTCCCTGTTCTGCTCCATAAAACATCCAGTGCGTTTGGGTTGTGTAGTGCTGAGGGCTGATTAGAAGAGGTCATTTCCCCCTGATGGCAACTGCTGTCTGTGACTGACTTGATAAGCTCTTCCCTAAGTTTCCAAAGCCAGGAGGTTGAGGGGGAGGCCACTTACTCAGGGACTTGGACTGTGGTGTGCTTCTGGGAAGGGGCCTGCCCCCTGGTGATCCATGTGCTTTGCAGGGCAGCCTCGTAGACAGAGCCTTGCACTGGGGTGTGGTTCCAGGGCTTACCTTTCAGTTCACTCACTGGGGCCAGTCCCTGGACTATTTTCTGAGTCTCAACTCGCTCGGTTTGCTCAGGTTTAAAAAGGTCCCAACTGAAGCTTGCTTGGCTACTGACATAGATGGAAAAGATGTCAAGATTCCTGCAGGTGACAAAGCAATATAGAATGTTTATTACATACTGTGGAAAATAATACAGTAAGGAGGAAGTACCTAGAATTTGAATTAAGTGCCTGAAAATCATCGACAGAACTCATACTTTTCCCTGGGGTACAGAGGAGATGGAAGGTGGGTGCGTGATGGCCCTAAGTCCTGAGTGTAGAGGACTTTCGTGTGTATAATATCTATTTCCTAAAGTGACCTGGGATGACTAGCAACTAGTGAAAGATGAAAGGCCAGGTGGAGAGGACCTGCATCACTCACACTCTTTCATATCACCCAAGCAGCTAGGTTCTTTCTCTCTCTGAGTCACCAGAGATCTCCTGTCATTGATAATCCACGTCCCCACCACTCCCAGACTCTGAGTATTTACATAAAGCTCCAATCCCGCTGCTTATTAGCTCACACACATGCATCTCTGTACAGTTCTGCAGGAGGTAGAGAGGATTTGGAACTTTGACTTGTAGTCCCTCATCAGTCACTCAGAAAGCATGTGGTGGATTATTTATCCATCTGGCCTCCTACCTACCTCTATCTGTGTTGTGGAACATGGAGATATATCCTTCAAGAGGGCTTCCCAGGTGGCTCAGGGGTGAAGACTCCACCTGCCAATGCAGGAGACTCAAGATTCCAGTTCAGTCCCTGCCACAGGAGGATCCCCTGGAGGAGGAAATGGCCTCTTCTTGCCTGGGAAACCCCCATGGGCAGAGGAGCCTGGTAGGCGACAGTCCACAGGGTCCTAAAGAGTCAGACATGACTGACCCGCATACACGTACACCTCGGGGAGCTGTAGTAGCTTCATGGGGTGGACACACCCCACCATCCATTCATCAGTGCCTTAAACTAGAGCCCTGGCATGGCCTTCAACTCACTCTTCTTCCTCATACCTCTCCTTCCACTAGTGACCACACCCTCCCAGTCAGGCCACCTCCTGCCTCTTGTATCCCCAGACCCTTTGCTAGAACCTCAGGCAGTATAGGCCTACCTGAAATACTTCCTTTGACACCTCCTCCATGAAACCTTCTTTGGTTTCCCTTCCCCGACTCCCCAGAGTGGGCCATACTTACTGTTGAAGCTATTATGTGACACTGTTCCTTTTGTAAGAACACTCTTGCCTCCTGGCCTGAGATGCTCTGGTATACTGCCTGGCACATAGTTGGCCTACAATAAACACACCAAAGATCATGGTCACCACCAACGAAAGGAAACACGTGCCAGGTACCAAATGATGAAAGCTGACAAGACCCTGAGAGTTCAGGGAAGGCTCCTGCTAGAAGGGTGGCCTGAGCGGGGTGGGTGTCAGGGTGGGAGCTGAGAGGCTGTGTGTCAGGATACCGGGAGAGGCACTGATTTTTCTTTTCCCCTTGCCCCTTAGTTGTGCCATCCAGCCCCACCATGGCCTCCTCCACAAGCCTCCCCTCCAATTGCAGCAGCTCCTCTGGCATCTTCTCCTTCTCACCAGCCAACATGGTCTCAGCCGTGAAACAGAAGAGTGCTTTTGCGCCTGTTGTCAGACCCCAGACCTCCCCACCTCCCACCTGCACCAGCACCAACGGGAACAGTCTGCAAGGTAAGCCCCAGGCCCCAGCCGGGGCCAACCAGATGCGCCCTGACTCACCTTCCCAGGGCCTGCAGCAGACGCGCTGCTGCCCAGGGCTCGACCTTGGGCTTGCCTGCCCCTGTCTGCCCTCAGCTCTTCTGTTCCTGTGTGTTCGCCCTTGTCGGACCTGGCCCCAGGCCCCCCATATCCCTCCTCTGCTGGAATCGCTTGAGCAGTTCTTCCAACTCCAGCAGTTCTGCTCAGGCCCTAGATTTCCTTGAAAAATACCGTCGCCACTTACTAATGTCATTTCTCTTTCCTCTCTCATTCCCTGTGGTCGCCATAATCAGATCAGTCTTTTGTGGACTCTAGCAAGTTCTCCACTGCAGGGTCTCTCCCAGGACTGGCCTTCTCCTGAAGTAGGTTTCCTTCCTGTTGCCTATGTCAGCATGAACACGTATGGGGCTGATCTTGGGGAGGGGGTGTGACAGCCCAGTCAGGGCCCTGAGGTTACAACATCTTAGACCAAACACTCAAAGCTTACTATTGCTGGGAACCAGAAAGCCCAAAGTGCCACTGGAGGACCCTGGTTCATATTAAAATTGTTTGATTTCCTCCCCATCATGGAATCTGGAAAATAAGAGTCACCAAGATTTTAGGGGACCTTTCTATTCATTGAGAAAAAAGGAACCTTTTAAAATGGGTCTACCATTTCTTACCTTCTCCTTAAGTGCTGGCACTGAATTGGGGTATTGGGCTGCACGGCCTCTTTCCTTTCCCACAGTGGGACTGTGGGATCGGTACTCAGATTTTATAGACGAGAAAGCAAAAGACTAGTGAGGTTAGGGAATGGCTTGACTTGGAGACAATGGTATGTGGCAGAGGCCGGCTTCAAACTCAAGCTCAAAAGTTCTATCTCCTGCTCTATCTTCCAAGCACTGTACTACTCAGAGTGGGTAAACAGGATGCATCCAGGATTCCTAAGGCAGCTGGCAGGGAAGTAAGATCAATAAAATCATCAGTTGCCATTCTTTGAGCACTGACCAGTGCTAAGCACTGTGCCTGCTTTATTTTATTTGATCCTCTCAACTTCCTGATGAAACACAAGGACCGTTATGGTCTCCATTGTAGAGAGGGTAAAATTCAGGCATCAGGAGAGTAAACACCTGCCAAGAGTCATAGGCAGAAACAGAGGGGATGAAAATAAACCCTGAGGATCTGTGCCCCAACCCAGCGCCCCACAGGACCTTCCTTTCAGTGGCTGGCTTGCCCATCGTCACTGACAGCTCAGCCGTGGAGGTTGAGAGCGGTCAAGCAGGCAGTCTTGTTTCTTATTGCCTATTTATTTATACGTCTGTACACGTACTTTGTACTGATGTAAACTTACATCCATTCTCTCCAAGACTCCATAAGGGCAGTACTGTTCCTGTTATATAGATGGGGAAACGAAGGCCCAGTTTGCTCAGGGTAACGTATCTGGTAATGATGGAGCCAAAACCGAACCCGCCGTGTGACTCCTGAACCTGAGCTCCTCTTGCCTGTGCCTTTCTGACTCCAGAAGCGCTCTGCCGAGCACTGCTCAGAGACCTGCTGGCCAGTCTGCCCAGCACAGGCAAGGGGAGTGCCCGTGCCCACCCCTGAAACAGGCCCCAGCAAAGCCGTCTTCTTAGAGGGAGGAGGAAGCTACTCAGACTCTGGAATGACATTTCAGGCAATATTGTTCCTGATAGGAAATGCCCACCCCCTAAAGGGGAGCCACCCATTCATGCAAGTATCTTTTTCAGCTAAAAATAATGCTCTGTCAGCCTGACTACACCTCCAGCTGGCAAACTGAGGATGTAATGCCTAAGTGAACATAACTTATAATGGGTTTAAATAAGGATAAAAACATATGGAAAGAAGAAATCTACCATTCCTGAGCTGCCAATCACAGCCCTTGTTAATCATAGACTTGACGTCAGGAAGTAGGTGTAATGGGGTTTGTAATCAGCCGTGGAGGGGGTGGCATGTGAGAAGAAAAGGCCCATGGCTCTTGGAGGGTCAGTGACTGAAGTGGGCAGCCCTTTGGTGAGGCCAAAGGTTTTTTCGTGCTGTGTGGATCAAGGACGGAACAGGTAGGGTCTGAAAGGAGGAACTCAGCCCGAATTTTAGAACCTCCTGGATTAAGGGAACTTCTGGTGGTGTAAGGTATGTGTATGTGTGTGTGTATACTTAAGTAATGATGAGATGGCATCAAGACAGGGCCACATAGAAAGTGTGTGCATTTGTCACCCCTGGAGCGTTTCTAACCCAGCCTGCACAGATCCCAGAAGTGCAGAGCCTGCCTCCCCCTTCTGACCTGCAGCCGTCCCCACCTCTCCACCTCTGCCGAGCGCACAGCGGGAGGCTCTGGGGCATACAGCTCCGGCTTGCTTGTGCTCAACTTGCTGCTGTGGACGACACTGCCCTTCCCTTCTGGTCGAGTGTGGGTCCTGGTGGTTTTTGTGTTACGAATTCTGTCATGCACTAAAGGTCCTTAGTTTCTGGGTGATGGCAGCCGAGGAGATATGAGGAGAGAAATTAAAGTCGCAGTAACTGACACCAACTTCCAGGAAGCTCTCCTCCTCCCCGCCCACTCTGCTCCCACCGTCCACTCAGCAGGCAGGGCCCACCCGGCCCCGGGCTGCACGTCTGGCCTCTGCATGCTTTCCCTGCAGATGTGGGTGCAGTGCACCACTGTTTTCAGGGGTCTCTTGCTGGGGACCTTGGCTTCTGAGAAAAGTAATATTCTAACAGTGGGCTCCTAGACCCAAAACCTAAGAATTACCTCATCTTCAGCTTTCTAAATTCCACTTCTATTAAAAATTTTAAAAAGACATAGGTAGGCTAGAGAATTGAGGAGGAGAATCTCTGAATGTGATATTCTCCTCCTCCTGTCATTGTTAGAGTAACAGCTGTTTCATTTGGACCCACCTTGTTCAGAATTGTGATCATTAAGACAGGGCAAGTGACGGAGGAAGAGTTGGTTAAGCAAATTGACCATATAAGCAAGATTAGAGGTGACACAGTTAGGCTGTTTAAGTGTTTTAAAGGTCTATTTACCTCCAGCTACCACTCTGCTAATTGTCCATCATTCTTTTTTTTTAACCAACTACTTAAGAGATCCGCTTCCTTAGCAGCCCTTTCTCAGCCTCCTCTGGTGACAGCACACATTTATTCCTCAACAGATACACATTGTGGTCTCACATGATGGTGATGACAATGGTCAGAGCCACTAATGTGGGAGGTCTTCTTCCCAGCCTGTCTTCTTCACTGTCTCGTGTGTTCCTCCCAACAAGCCTGAGATACAGGCTGTTTACTGTCCCCATTATACAGATGCAGAAACTGAGACAGAGCTGAGAAGGCTCATCCAGTTATAGGACTAGCACATCAGGGAAGACTGGGGTTAAGTCCCAGCCCGACTGACTATTATGTAAGTGTGAAAGTGTTAGTTGTTCTGTCGTGTCTGACTCTCTGTGACCCCATGGACTGTAGCCCACCAGGCTCCTCTGTCCATGGGATTCTCCTGGCAAGAACAGTAGAGTGGTTTGCCATGCCCTCCTCCAGGGTATCTTATCAACCCAGGGATTGAACTTGTGTCTCCTGCAACTTCTGCATTACAGGTGGATTCTTTACCATCTGAGCCACCAGGAAAGCCCCAATATAAGCCCCTGTGTTAAACTAAATGGTCATATTCAAGCCACTGGGCAACCAGCTGTGGAAGTTCAGACGAGGGAAAGATTAGGGAGAATTCAGACCAGCCTCGTGGAGAAGGTTAACTTTGAACTGGACCTTGGATGAGGGGCAAGTAGGATTCAGGCCCAGGGAGATGAGGTGAGGGGGGAGACATTTTAAGCAGAAGGTTTAAGGATAACCTGAGCCGGAGTCCTGCGTGGTAGCCACCAAGCCATGTACCCTCCTAGAGCACAGGTACCAAGAGGCAGGGAGAAAGGGTAACAAGGAAGTCCTTACCTGGGAGTCAGGAGCGCCATTCTTATATTTTAGAATTGGCAGTTTCTCCTGTGATTCCAGTTGGTTTTCTCTCCCAGGTAGGTAAAACCTTTGACAATCTACCATTTGCCTGAGACATCTGTAGGACAAACTCTTATCTATCTCAGTATTTCTGGAATCTCATAAGATGTTCTGTTTTAAAAAAAGAAAGAAATGGTTATGGTCAAACAGACCTCAGAAATGGTGCTTACTATCTTGGAGTCACAATGCATGCAAGTTTAACTAAAGAAGACACCCCACAGCTAAACAGAAGAGAGTCTCCCTCTTAGTTCACTGCTTATCGGCCCATTAGAACCAATGAACATCCTATGAAAAACTATGTAAAATTTAGACATATTTTGGATTTAAAGATAACAACACAGAGAAATCTCCTTCCATTCTTATCAAGATGTCATTGGCCAGTCCTGATCTTAAGACTCCTTTAATGTGTCTGTTTTCAGAGGCCAACACTTGAGTTACCTCATATGCTCAGTTATAGTCCTGGAGACATGCTTTTGCTTCTCCTAAAGCTGGGCCCATGAAGCATGGATTCTAATTTTGGGCCCCAAAGGATTTCATTAAAAGATAGGCAGCCCCCAGAATGCTGTCACCATATCATTGGACCTGCCCCCAAGGTAGAGATTTTAAACCCTATGTTCCGGACAGTCTCCGCAGTGAAAAATTAAAAGGCCAGAGTCATTTCACAGAAATCGTACCCACATAGTGCTTCTTTTCTCCCCTTTCTCCACCTCCCTGGAGCATAGGCTGGCCGGCCCCACCCAGCTCTCCACAGTCTGGTAGCACATCTCCTGGAATTGTCTTCTGCTTGACGCACATGTTGAGTTTGTGCAAGCTCGTCCCCTCATCCTGTTCCCGATTAGCTCCGCATCCTTACACATGTGGTGGTTCGAGGAAGATCACATTCCACCCTCTTGATCCAGATTTCTACCAGCTCAGCAAAACTTTCCATTTTGTCTTTGTTCTTATCCAATCAAAAAATGCATTGCCTCTGAAGCCAGTAGTCTTCTGAGCTTCTGTCAGGGAACATGATCACCCAGATGCCAGGGAGGATGGCAGAGCCACTTCGGTCTTGTGATGCCCTGGCACACGTTACTCTGTCGGGGTGTCGTGTCCTCATGGAAATCTTCATGGGCCCCACTTGGGCAAGTCTGTGTGCCAGCAGCATTTCTGGAACATTCTAAGCCTCAAACACCCATCCATCTCACCCACATAAGTAATCTTGAGGATTAAGGCACAGACACAAGAAAAACAGCTTCTAATATCCCAGGAGCTTCCCCGCAGTCATGCAATGAGGTTTCTTTATTAAAAGGCCTCTTTAGAGTGCCTAAACCCAGAGGCCACAAACAGGACTCCTTGCCCAAAATTTACTCATCAATAAGGGTTCTGCATCTGGAGTTTAGAAAGTGATGGAAGAGATTTAGGGAGCAGTAACCCCCCTGATGTTATGTGCAAAACTCTGGGTGTAAGCATCTCCGAGCCTTCTTCTTGGACAGAGGTTCCCTGGCTTCCATTAGACCCTCAGAGGAATCTGAAGGCCAATGAAGGAGAGGGAAGAAAGTGGGGACAGACCACAGTCACCCCTAGATACCCCCAGACGGTTTATTTGGCTTTGATTTTAACTTTTTGCTAACACATATAATAAACTGGGCTATTTTATGTTTTAGAGACTCCACCTCCACCTTCTCTGGAAGTAGTTCGGAACATGTGGCTATGTGTAGGCTTTCTCACATGGCAGCAGTGAGTGCCACTCACGCTACAGAAGGCCTGACTCTGGCTGAGCCACCTCAGTTCCCACAGTGGGAACCTGGCTCACTCAGGATGCCAGCCTGGGCTCTTGACGTGCTGGAGTTTTTAACCCCTGTGTCCCAGATTAAGAAACACTGTTAGCTCTGGACTGGCAGCATGTTAGTTAGCTTTGCTTTATAGCTTTTAATGTGGTCATAATAGAAGCTTCATCTTATTGATTTAACACGTGATTCAGGTACCAGAACACTGAGTAAGCTTTTTTTCTTTTTTTAATTCTGGCCATCTAGAATTTTTTTAAAAGTCCTGATGTTTTTAGGGCCCCATTCATACGTTTTGACTGGGTCCACCGACCCAAATTAGCAGGAATTCTGTCCATTTTCCCTTTTGCTTTGTATCATATGGAAACTGCCTGGTGATCAGGCTCTGCTCTAGGAGACTGCTGGGCACACAGGCTAGATTTTGGCAGAAGGCATAAGGAGACACTTCTTTTGCCAGAGGCCTTAGCACTCCCTTGGGAAGGTCTGCCTTTTAGTAAAGGTGCACGGACCTACCTTCAGCCTGGAAGAAAAGATCCTTAGGGAAGCAGCACCATGCTGAGCTCTCACTCTGCAAAGACCCTCTTTCCCAGTCCATCCTCCTTGCCTTTGGAGCTACAGCATCTTGAATTCTCAAGGTTTGGATTGAAATACCCAGCTTCCTGTGTCAGTCGAAATCTAGGGCTCACTTGCATCTTAGGGGCGCACTGCATTTCCAATGGATCCCAAATTGTTGGGAGTTTAAATTGGCCTGCATTTGGCAAGAGACACTTCCTGTTTCTAAGAAAAATGGCTTATGAGGACTTACAAAAAAGACTCGAGGAGCTTTTGGACTGCAGAATGCCTCTTGCAAAACAACATTTGGATGATTTACGTGTAAATGAATCAGAAACATGTGGATTAAATTTCCTTGTGAATACAGATGGGTTTAAAAATTAACGGAAAAAGTGTTTGGCAAAATGCTTTTTTAAAAATTGAATCGAAAATGTCGGGGGGTGGGGGAGGGGAAGCAGAAGCTTGCGGGGGCCCACAGCTCTCAGAGCCTCACCTGGCCTTCCCATGTCTACTGAAGGCTTTGGGGCTCACTTTTAAAAAGCCCATTAATGCAGACATGAGAGCTGGGAAATTTAGAGGGTCACTTCCTAGATGCCGTCACCACTGACAAGGACATTAATTTAAATTTAGAATTGCCAACAAAAAGAAAGCAATGACTTCCTTTCTCTGCCTGACAGGATGCTAAGCCATCACTGAGAGCCAAAGATGGCTGCCTCTTGCTTCTAATGTAAGCACTGCTCTCATCTCCACATACTTTAAAGTTGCCATCCTGAACTCTGCACCTGTCCCTTTATTCCTTATACCCATCAAGTGAAGTGTTCCATGTTGGACAGTACCTAGTTGATACAAGGAAACGCAGCCCAGAAAAGTTCAGCAGTTTGCACTAGGTCCCGCAGCTCATTTAGCAGCAGAAGTTAATAGGAGCCCAACTCTATTAGGTCTTCACTAGGAGCTTATCAGGACTAAGCACTTCATATTGGTTACTGCATTTAAATCTCCCACAACTCTAACAGTATCACGGCCCTAGCAAATATACCCCATTCCTAGCCGAGAAGGCAGAGAGGTTCATGGAGACAAGTAAATAACTCTGGGTGGAAAAGGAAAATCCCATGGACAGTGGAACCCAGTGGGCTAAGCGCACTTAGCCCACTAAGTCCATGGGGTCGCAAAGCGTCCGACACAACTGAGCATGCACACAAGCAAGCAAGCACCTCTGGGGGACTTACTCAGCAGACGGAAAAGAGGTGGAATGTGGGCCTGTGGGATCCCGTGCGCTTTCACTACAACTGTCTGAGGCCTCCTAACAATGCTTTGCAAGATTTTTGATTCTCCCACACAGCTTTCCCTTTGCCTAGGATCTCCTTCAGCTTTCCTAGGCTAAGGTTTTCTAGAGACATGGTCAGAGCATTGCAGAAACCTTGACTGCAGCAGAGACACAGGGGACACCCTCCCCCGCCTAGCCCCCCAGGAAATGGCGACATCCGGAGCTGGCTGCTGCTCAGCGCGGGCCTGAGGCCTGAGGTGGAGGCGCTCAAATCGGCGCTCCGGTCCTCAGTGCTCAGCTCCCATGCTAATACAGGACACAGGCAGAGCCACGGTTTTTTGTAGCAATTGCTGGCTGTTATGGTGGACCAGTTTTTCATTTTATATTTTGGAAGTGGAAAGCAAGGGGAAAAAAGAGTGACAAATTGAAAATTCCCACTCTTTTGCAAGTGATGGGGCTCTAACTTTCCCAGCAGTATTCAAACTCTGACTTGCCAGTTATGTCTTAAAATTGAAATCAGATTTGGAGGGACGTTTAGAACCGTCTGTTAGAGACACATACATTCACTGATAACACTACATTCTTAATAAAGTACGTGTATATTTTCTAATTAAAAATTCCTTCCAGGGAAGATGAGAAAGCTCATTTGTGGCTAATGTTCAATGAACATAGTGGTGTGTGGGTGTTTTTTTTCCCCCCATCTTTTTTCTTGGTAGGAAGTTTGGACACAAAAGCCACTGACTCTTATCTTCTCTTTCCACAGCAATATCTGGCATGATTGTTCCTCCCATGTGAAAGAATTGCCTTGAAGAATTTTATTAATGAAGAGGTTGGATTCTGCTACAGAGAGTAATCTGATACAAGTCCCAGAGTGGAACTTTTAACTCAGGCCTTTTTAAGAGGAATCACAATAACTGCAGATTTTTAAACAAACAATATCGCCGACCTTGCAAATACTGAAATTGGAAGGGATCTGCTAACGCAGGGTGTTGGTTACAGTTGTACCTCCCGCATCCTTGGGGGGATATATTTATTCTGTGTTGATAAAAGCAAATCCACTTTTTCTTTCTCTTTCTCTTTTTTTTTAAGCTTAACTCTGCAATCACTTGTCTTTTATAAACCGTAAAGCTGTATACAAGGGACACTATAAATAAGACTCCATGTTTTAATTTATGATGTTTTTAAAGCTGTGTAAAAGGAGAATGAAATGGTGATATTTACAAAAAAGTTTAAAAAAAAAAAGGAAAAAAAAAAAGAAGCTTGTATGGGACAGAATAGGAATGCCAGTTAGATTTTTTAGGAAACTAAGGGTCGGCTTCTGCGCCTTAAAGCATATCAAGTGGTAGTTACTCGGACAGTGCATTTCCAGTATCTAACTTAACATGCCACCCCTTAGCAGTGCAAGCTTATTTCTCCCTTTCGTATTGTTGTCTTAAGTAACTGTGTAAATAAATGCAGCCTGGAAAGTTAACCAGTGATGTAAGTGATCACATTTTCCCCTTCTACTCGAAAATCCAGTGCCTCTAGACAGATGTTAAAACTGCATATTTAAACCTGATAGCACTCTCTCTTTTGCTTACGTCAACTTCTTCTGAAGCCGATGGCCTCGCGAGAGCTTGGAGGCACACATACTGTGTGAGAATCTCCTTTGAGACTGCATGGAACAGGGTCAGGCACAGAATTCCAAATTATTCCCTCCAGTTAGTTATCAAGCCAAAATCCCAGTAACACGCCGCCATTTACAAGGTTAAAGTTTACTCATCCTAAATGCTGACTTCATCCCAATCCTCCAACACAGCAGGTCTTTCAGATTTCCCATTTGAGATAGCGCCTCTGTCTGTCGACCCTTACTATTTGTAACATAGTAGATTGAAACAACGGGTTAAGTGCTTTGGAATCAAGAATAAAAGGAAACTGGGAGAAAGGAGAAGAAGGTTGAGACCTCAAAACACAGTTTTCTGTTCGATGGGAATTTTTGCTCTCATTATCTGGGAAGTGTTCTTACAATAGAAGTTAATGGCGAAGATGCAGCAAAGCTCCGAGGATGCATTTGCCTGATATTTTTTTCTTTGCTGTTGTGTTTTTGTATGTAGTTATAAATACTGTAGATTTTTTGTGATTTTTTGCCAAAGTTGTTGTTCTATTTATACATTTTAATGTCTTAAGACGGTTTTTCAATATCATAAAAAAAGATTTTACTGCATATTTTGCAAAGGAAAAAAAAGCTCACTACCTTTAGCTTGCACATACTTGCAAAATTAATTAAAAGGCTTTTTGTTTTAAAGGGGATTTTGTAAGATATCCATATAAATAATGTATTTATCTTTGGAATTTGTACATTGCTTTCCCCTTCCTCCTTTTCCTCTGACTCCCAGTTTATTTTATTGTGTGTTTGCTATGTGAAAAGTGCGTATTTGTTTGGTCACCTATAGTTAGCTGTTTCAATGTGATTTTTAAACATTTCATTTATAGTTATTTTTAGTATTGTTTTAAACCATGCTTCATTTTTTTTTTTAATTTTCACCCAAAAGCCATTGTCTATTTTTGTATTATTTGTAAGTTAAGAAGTTTTTTCCAATTTATGGCAAAAAATAGTAGCATATTATTCTTGTAGCATTTAGTTCCGTAGATTAAAAAAAAAATGTATCCTTTGCTTTGGAAGCTTACAGAAGAAAACCCTAATGCTGTTTTACTCTATTAATATGCATGGAACCTCTCCCTTTGGAGTGATGCATTTTGTGCATTAAATTCCAGGGAGAAACTTCATAGAAATCAATGAACATACTTTCTTTCCTAAGTCTGCTTGTATATTTCCTGTCTTTCACATAAATATAAACCAGCAGATTGGATGCCTTAACAATGCAAATCATATTCATTTCACTTGTACATTGTAACTGTGCACCGAACTGTCAGTCATCACTCACATTCTAAGAAAAAAGAAAAAGAAAAAAAAAGAAAAAAAAAAAACAAAGAAATCGAAAAGCACAAAAGAACTGTTTTGTTACCTTAAGATAATGTAACTTTTTCTAGTAGAGCAAGAAAATTTACAACAATGCTGCAACTGTGCATGCCCCCATAAGGATTTTGCAATGGTTTTCACTAGACTGTCAAGAGTGCGATTTTTATGGGTTGGGGCGGGTGGGGGAGGGGTGTTGCGGGAGGGAAGGGAGGGGAAGAAAGCTGATTTTTCTTGGTGAGAAATAATAATGATAAATAATAATAATAAAACTGGAAAATGTAAGCAAAGTGGACACATTGCTTCTCGGTACTCAGAAAGGTTGTCTGAATTCGTGTGGTAAGCGCTGGCCTGAAGATGTGTACAATTTAAAGCCATATTTTGTCTGGTGAGCCCCTTAACTGTTTGTGAAGGACCCCAGGTAAGCCGGTGAGGTGTCCGGCTCAGACCCTGGCGACAGACGCCACCCATTGTCAGCCATTGTAGTGGTTAGAACTTTTCTTGAAAGTCCAAAGAGCCTATAAAATGTGTATAATTTGTGTTTTGTTGCCTCTATTTACATTGATTAGATGAAAAGTCATTCTGGCCCTCTGACCCTCTCTCTTCTACATGGAACTTTTTACAAATAAAAGATGTTCCCCTAAATACAGAATATGGCTTTAAGAAGAAAACAAAATAGAGAATTCAACTAAGATTTCAGTTTGGGGGGAAAAATACAGCTTCTGGATGACTGGATTGCATAACACACCCTGGCCTCACATTGTACTAGGATGCAGCTTAACGAAGTCATCTCTAAATCTAACCTTTCACCTTCCTATCAGACTTTTGGAATAGGACACACACTGTACAGTTCAATCGTTAGAGAACCTAACTACTGTAGAGATTGTTATAATTTTTTTTTTTTTGGCAAACATTCAAGCTGTAAAAACTTTTCAACTTTCACAATATTTAATTAAAGTTACTTCTTGTCTGTGATGACAGCTCCTAGTTGTGTATTCATTTCTCTATTTTGGATGAGCCCAAGTCCAACATAATGTAAAAAGGTCTGTGTGTGCAACGGCATGGGTCCAGTGTCATCACCCAGAGAAAAGCAGCAAGAGCAGTCCTGGGACACCCACTTCCCCTCTGTCAGTCCATGGGGATTTGCTCATCTGGAATGCAAATTGAACACACAGCGTACTGCTGCCCTCTGCTGGTAGCAGCTGGACGCACAATGCCCATCCTGGTCTGAGCCAAGAGCCCCAACGATTACACTAGGCAAGCAATGAGATCCCCCTGAAGTGACTGAATTACAAATCTAGGATCTGGCCTCGCTGGAAAGTCATCCTCCATGCTCCAAGTCTGAACCAAGCTCTTCACATACCACTGCTAATTAATCCCAGTGAGCTTTCTGGTCAATTATGTGCCCTGGCTCACTGAGGAGGAGGCATGTGTGAACACAGAACTTTCCATGATCTATAGTTTTAAATCCCATGTTTTTTCCTGTTGGAAAAAAACAAATTTACGTAGGGTCAAACATTCCACAAACACCCACTAGGCACCTACTCCTGTAAAACTGTTTCACTTTAATTTCCATCATCATCATAAGTCTCTCCCATTGCACATTCAATGCTTTCTCTACTTTTACAATTATTGGACATGATAAGCTTAACGATGCTTATAAAATGCCTCAAAAACTCAGCAAATAGGCCATGCACCAACAGAAACTTGATGACCAGAGCTGCTAGGTCATCCTGCAACCACCATCAGGATCATTTGTGGTGGGCATTGCTGATACACTTTTGCTCTGGAATAGAGCCCAATCTGAGGTGATGAAAGAGTGTAATGAATAAGTTAATAAGCAGAGAAGCCACCATCCTCATCTTACAAAGAAATCTATGCTGATTAGTTTGGTCATTCAATATACATTTTTTTTGGAATTCTGTATCAGGTACAGAAGATAAAAAAGGGAACAAGAGGCCCCTGCCCTTAGGCCACTCATAATCTCAGACAAGAGGAATCTATACTCAGAGTAGTTTAGAGTGTTAAGGACGATACACTCATAATGCTCCACAGAATCAGACAGACATCCACACCTCTACATGCTGGCTTCTGCTTTCCTTAAGGCCTATTCGTTTATTCACATAGACCTTGCGGGTTTCATCTGGCACCAAGTGAAACCTCACAGCAACACTGATCTTACCCTCATGGATCTTTATAGTCGAGTGAGGCAAGGAGGCATTAAGCAACCATGCAAGTCTAACTAACAAACTGATAGGGGCAATGAAAAAGTCTAGAATGCTCTGAAAGTGTATTACAGTGGGACCTGTTTTAACCTGATGGGTTGGGGAAGGTTTCCAGAGAGAGGGACATCTAAGCTGAGATGTGAAGAATGAAGTAAGCAGGTGGGGTGGCACCATAAGCAGAGGAAATGAGAGCAGATTTAAGGATCCGGGCTTTGGGCATAGACAGGGCCCATTCAGGAGAAGGAAATGGCAACCGACTCCAGTTCATGCCTGGGAAATCCCTTGGACAGAGGAGGCTGCTGGGTCACAGAGAGTTGGACACGACTGAGCATGCACATGCAGGCACGGCCCATTCAAGAACAGACAGACTGTGTCTGTCGAGCATGCAGATGCGCAAGATGTCGCTGAGGAGCCTGGGAAGTTCAGTTCAGAACAGAGACTGAGGACCTCCTACCTGTTTGGCACTTCACTGGTTCGCTAGGATGCAGTAGGCAGACCAGTCACAGCTCTAGCCTGTAGGGCCTGAAGCAGCGGCCATAAACTCGATGCTCTGCTTCTGACCGCAGAGACCGTGATGGTAAACAATGAAGTGGGTGAGCTGGGGTGAAAAACAG